AAATAAATAATTTTATTCTAAAGCTTATAGTTTCTTGACAAAAAGACATTAGAATTCCTAACTCAATGGAGAGAAACAGGCAACTTGTATTTACCCACTGTATCACAAGCAAGATTTAAGATTATTGTAACTGAGACAGAGAAAACATACTTTTTCTCTTTATTTTTTACATTGTACTTTGTATATACACTGTCACTGTTCCCCCCTATAAGCAGATAGTGCCTGATACAAGGCCCACTCAAGTCAATGGAAAGATTTTAAATTAAGTACATGACATGTTTGGATTTTTGGTTAGTGTTCCTTGTTTTAGATCTCAATTCATTATCAATCTGAATGCATTTTTAACTTTTAGTCCAGAGTAGTCCCATTTACAGCATATCAATGGGGCAACTCACAATTTAAAAAAAGGAACCAGATGTGTAGTTCTTTGCAGTATCATGGCCTTAATGAGTTTTTACATATTAGTGGGGGAGGGGCAGGCAATTGTTAAATCTCAAAAATCCAAAAAGATATTCTATGGCAGATTTAGCACCTGAAATTACTTAACACTTTTAAAAAATGGGCTAGTTTTCAAGTGGATGGAATACCTTTAAACATTAGTCTTTCAAACTAGTGTATTTGGTACCAGCTGTTGAGGATATGACATCCAATTGAATAGTTAAGGTAACTGTCAAATACTATATGAGGTCAAAAGTTATATTTTGAGATGTTTTCTTGCCTTACCCATTTATACATGAAACAAAATAATGATTTACCTATCTTAGCCATAAACATACAGACCACAGATCATTTTTTCACACAAAATTTATCATTAGACCCTAATAAAGCACTGAAGTGCTCTCCATTTTGTTTTGGATATCTCTGTATAAGATTTAATACAGACTATCCATGTAGAAAACATGATAACGTACATCATTTTATTTGTGTATTCCAGAGGCACTGAGACATCACTCTCCCTCTGAATGGTCTCTGGGCCTCTGTGTTACAAGTCCAGTCCTACTAAAAAAGTCCAGATTTTTCCAATTCATCTCAATCCAACATAATGAAGACTGTGGTGCGACAGCCTGAGTCTTCAAAGGACTATCAATGCCTGCCTTCACCACTATGCAGAAAAACATGAAATCCAGTTAGAGTAGGTCTACAATGCGGCATTATTTTGACATAAGATATTTTGGAATAACAACTCCCAGAATAGCTATTTCAAAATAGCACGTCCACATTACAAATGTCCATCAAAATAGCATAGATCTATATTGATATAGCGCATCCACACTATCTACTGACATAATGAAAACCAGCTGACACTTAAAAAATCAAATATAATTTCCCCAGGGCAAAAATCAATGTCCCATTTATGCTAGCCATGTATTTAAGTGTTATAATACAGTAACACTGTAATTGTGGATATGTTAGATGTTGGATTGTACAAACCACATCTCTAGTGAGTTCAGTAACATCTATTTAGGAAGACGAAGTATCTAATAGCCAAAGTACTTTTGGAAATGATTATTTCAAATTCCCCCTTGCTTTGGGAAGTGATGTGCGGGGGCAGGGGGAAGGAAGAGGATGACAGACAGCAACATGAAGCATAAGGGCTACGGAAGCATAGGGGAACAGCTGGAAATACATTAGCAAAAGCTAAGGGAAGTACCACATGATAGGTATATCTTCCATGAAGTCCAAATTTAGAACAAAAGAGATTCCAATTTCAAAGTGAAATGTGTCCACATTTATAACCAGATATCTATTATACACCCTGGCTTCTGGTTACATCAACAGATTAGCAGATCTGGTGACTGCCAAATAAATATAGTGATAAGATGCCATTCATCAAAGAGAAGACACTACATAATATCATCATAATTTTCAATTGTCTCTGGAATCACATGCACATTGAAATCTCCAATTCCTCACATAATCTTACCTGAGTTGATATTTCACTAAGAAAGATATTTACTACATTTTTTTTTAATCTGATGGATTGCTCCAGAGATTTTACATTCCCCCCTCATGTGTTTTTCCTTGTCTAGTGTCATACACTAAACAATTAAAAAGCTGAAATGATGTACAGTGAATGTGACTGTCACACACACACATAAATCTTTGAAAATGTAAAAGGTTACCTTGGAGATAATTCATATAATAAATTACATTCCAAAACTGCAGTTTGGAGTCTACAGTACTGCTTACTTTTTAAATATAAAGGGTGCACTACACCTCATAATTACTGCTTTCAAGATTGGAGGATTATTAAATGGAAAATTACGCCATCACAGAAATGTGATCAGTCATTTGACCATTACTTCATAATTCACTGGAAATTAAAGCATATACATCCTCAGCAATACTGAACAAATGTTTATCCTTATAAAAACTATGAAATAACCTTTTTGACAACACTTATGTCAAGAAATGTGAAAATATTATCAGTCTACCTAACACTGAACGTAAAGTATATGTGTCCTAGAAGAGTGATATGAAACTAATAATTCTACCACTTTCCAATAATATATACTAAAGCAGGACACACACCATAGTATACTTGACTAAAACATGATCGGGTACTAAACAACAGAGTCACTGTGCAGCCATGAGATGGTCATGTTAAGTTCTCCCTTATTTTCCTCATCTGTAAAATGGGAGTGGTATAACTTAATATCAGAGAAGTATTGTAAGGATTAGTTAACAACTGGGAAGCAATTTAGAAGGAAAAAACCCTACGGCTATTAGCAGCAGTGTTACAAAACAAAAGAAATAAGCTATACTTTGTGAGATCAAAGCATTTATTTTTAAAAAAGAATTTGTATTCGTTAATAGTTCTGTTGCTGTGCAACAAGCTTTACGCAGAACTGTTAGGATGGAGACAGATTTAAGAATCACACCCAGATCTCCTGCACAAAGCACTATTACTATGAGATCAAATCCAAAGAAAAAGCACAAGTAACATTAAGCAAATGAATAGTTGGACTAAAGTCATTGGGACTATTCACATGCTTTTTTATCCTTATTTTCTTAAATCATTATGTACCAGTGAATATTCATGAGTATTTTGTTCTTGGGCATGACGGTTCACATTAATAGCTGTTTTCCACTGTGAGCCTCCTAATGCATCAAAATATGAAAATAAATAAAAAATAGCTAACTGAAAATTATGGCAAAGCATTAATATTTTTACTAAAAATACAGTATTTTTCATATCTTTTAAAAAGCTAAAGATGCATTTTTGGTGAACATGATCTGAAAGGATTTTAAGCTGCTCTTTTGTGTTTCTTAAATGCAGCACTGAAAACATCGCTTTGTACCATTAACTGAGAAATAAAATTAACTCAATTGATAAGAAATGGGATTGCAACTGCAGATTACAACATTAAGGGGTATAAGTTAACAATTAAGCATATATTAAGGAAATAAAATGGTTTATCATTTAAAAGTTTGGAATTTAAGTGTGCATGCACTTTTGGCACATGGCCAAGGACAGTGGAGTTTAAGCAGGTAAGGTCTGACAAAGGACATTCAAACAGACATGCTCAGTCCAAAACTAGGGAAGGGTCACAATCCTGTAATAGTAAACGCCCAATATCTTCCACAGGCAAGTCACAAAAATGTACTACTTAATTCTTAAAAGCTTGATCTAGTTCTTCAATTTAAGGATTTTCTGTTTTCTCTGAGTGTTTACTTCATTATATACACTGTATCTATCCAGGTACCATACTTACCTTCAGCAAATCCTTCACAACACCTACCCATTCCATGGAGCTGCAAATCCACATCCACAACATAATGATTTGATGGAAACACCATAATGAGCCTGCCCCATTCCTGCACTTTTCCTTAACCTGGGGTAATCAAGCTCAGTAATACAATCTCCCTTGTAAATTAAAATGGTACAGTGATATCAAAACTAGAAATTACAGTATATGGGAATTATATATTAAATCACCATGCAATGTGCACAATGTAATAATGAAGTAACTGCAATATAATTACAATGCAATCATGTAATCATGGAGCCACAGTTTATAAAGTGCCGCTTGTCCTTTTATTTTCAGATTGTGCTTTATTCTGTAACTCAGATTTTTCCCTAAACTATTCATTTATTGTAGTGCTTTTAAAATATAAGGTTTTACTGTTTGTAAAATGAAACACAAAGAAATAATGAAGTCAGTGGTTCCTTTTGACTATTTCAAGCCAGAACATTTTTAAAAAATGGAAGAAAGAGAGTAACTATCTTGTACTATTCCCTTCCTTCACTTGATTGATAGTAAATAACTCCAGAAAGGCAAAGGCCCAAGAGAGCCAGAAACTCCATAGAAGTGGGGGGAAGGGGTGCCACTAGTGCCGGAACCATAGCCCCATTCCCACTTGCTTCTCTCTGCCCCATCCCTGAATCACTCACCTTTAAGGCATATAAAAAGATGTGGGACCATAGTCCCCAACACCACCCTGTTCCAGTGCCCCTGCTAAGGAAACAAACTTCTAGAATATCATTTAAAACACAATATAATCAACTGGGAAAATATCATTAAAACTACTGCAGTAAGGAGAATTTATATTTTTCGTCTATTTGCAGCTAGAATACATCATTACTTTGACCAAATTCCCACTGAAGGCAGGATTGGAATCTAACGAGGTAACAATTAAAAACAGAACACATGTAAAGCGACTTGTCAACTCTATCCAGTACCTTTGTTGATGAACTTTTAAATGTTTCCTTTAGGAACAAAATTATGATAGCTTAAACACCTGAGACTTTTGGTATTTTACAGTATACTGATGCAGCTAGAGTTCACCCTAAATTGGACTTAGAGTTAGTATTTCTTTCCTATATATATTTATGTTATTGATGTAAGTCTGCAACAGCTCCATTAACTTCCATGAATCTGCTGTAGATATACATCTGTATTCCAAAAAGCAGAATTTGGCTCTATCATGTTACACCTTATACAGTATTAGAAACACTATGGAAAAAATTACTTGCATGAATTAACTGTTTCAATTACCTAGCAGTTCCATCGCATCATCTTCATTGTCAATATCTTCTTCTGTCACTGAGGGAGCTGTGCTTTGGACAGAATCAAAAGAGTCCTGGGAAAGCATAGCAGCCAGTAGCTTCTTATGTTGCTGTTGTTGCTGTTTTAATCCTTTGGTCTTCGGCTCCATCTTTAAACTGGTTGGGGGAAAGCATAACTTCCTTGTAACATTACTCTCTCTACAAAAAAGTACCTTTACAGCAGCCATTTCACTCACAATGAGCAAATGAAACCATTTAATTAATAGACTTTCTTCTTCTATACAAACATCTATATAGAAATTCTGCCTTCCTCTCTAAATACACTGATTGCCTGGCTCCTCACATGCAGCTATGACTGCTGTGAAGTTCAAGATAACAGACCACAAATTTAAACATCAGGAAGACAGAGATAAAGCAATGCAAGTGAAAGATTGAAATTCTCACCAACATTGGCCTGACTAGTCTGGCAATATCAACAACATCCTGAATCACAAACTTAATATTAAAACTTTCAAGGGTGGGGAACCATTTTTGGGTCAATGACCCACAGAAAAATGAGTTGGGGCTGCACACAAGTGAGAGCAAAAACAAAACAAAACAAAAAACTCACAGATGTGGCCCTCAACTGAGAAGGAGAAAGACACTCCCCACATTGCCCTTGCACATCAGAGCATAAGGGGGGAGGGCCAGAATAATAGACTTTGTGGGGCAGCAGGGGGGCTGAAGCACCAAAATGGGCTTCCCAATGCGGGGGCGGGAGGCTGAGCCTCGGGGGACTGAATCCAGGCAAGACGGGGACTGCATCTGGCTTCTGGGCCTGAGCTTCCCTCCTCCCCCATGGGGAAGTGTCTACACTGCAAATGTCTACACTGCAATCTTTAGTCCCCCAGCCCAAGCTAATTGAGGCTCTAATACTCAGTTTCATGGGGAAGTTATTGCAGTATAGCCAGTGGGACTAACAAACTTGGTGGACCCCTGGGCCAGGAGGGGAGGGTCCATGCAGCCAGAAGGAGTGAGGCCTCAGGAAGAGGAGGCAGGGCTGGAGCTAGCTTTCCCCAGGTGCCTCAGCACTGCCCGCAGAGCACTGTGCCTATCCAGGCAGCACCCAGTACTGCCAGGAATACATTGTGTGGGACTCTGGGAATCATTTTAAGGGTCCAGATCTCCAGCCACAGCTGCTACTGCAGTAGTGGTAGCTGCAACCAGGAGCCCCAAGCCCTTTTGAATCACAAGGCCTCAGGGGAGTTGCCCCCTTTCCACACACACACCCATCATCAGGCTTGAATGTCGCTGTATATTGGCTTCCTTTCCCACCACTTTCTGTCTGATCCATTGAACCTGTTGTAAAGTCAAAAAGAAGGAAGAGAGGAGGACTATCTTTTATTGGGAATGGGAATAGTACAGGCATTCCTCGGGTTACGTACAAGATAGGGACTGTAGGTTTGTTCTTAAGCTGAATTTGTACGTAAGTCGGAACTGGCGTCCAGATTCAGCCGCTGCTGAAACTGACCAGCGGCTGACTACA